AGAACCCAGCGCCAACTTTCTGTATAACTCACTATACACAAAGCAGGGCAAACCCAGAAGTGTCTAGGGTAACAAATATCCACTGGTCTCTCTATACTGGGCACTTCTGCACGTGGCCATACAGCACCATCATTTAATATTTCCTTTTGGAAGTACTAAAAACACCGTGCAATAACAGCCCATACTGTGCCGTGCACAGTTATTTTTGGCTGCTACATCGCCGTAGCAACCCGCTATAATGAAGGAGCACATTGCTACGGTGACACAGCGGCAGCACCACGGTTTTTGCCAATGGTAAAGATTATTTAGCGTCTTGTGTAAACGTGCCCACTGACTCATAATTAAACTGGATGTGTCTCTGTGAGTGGCACTCTCCCTAATCATTCTTTCCATTCTAGATAGAATCAGCTGGAAAAATATACTTGCTTAAAACGACTAAGGAGAGGTTTTTATCCAGGGCCAAAGTGATCCAATATTTTGACCTCCCAGCTGTGATACTGTAACAAAGGTTTTACTAGGATTATGTTTTCATAAAAATGTCCAATCTACATAAGTTTCTACATGATTTTAAATATTTTCTCTACCTTTGAGGGAAATGAAAACTAAAAGGAATGACACAAAAGGCTAACCAAAACAAAAATGTATCAGTCTATTTAGTAACAGCACTGGCAGCTCAATCAAACTTTCCAATTAAATCCTACTGGTGCTATAGATAAAATATTGATCCTTTTCAATTATGGTAATAAAACAAGATCTTTATTGACTTCTTAAAGCTTCAGTTGTACTATGTAAAGTTTTTTTAGGAACATTTGTACAGAGCACATTATAAACAGGTTGTAGACTTTCTTCAACTCTCTCCTCATTTATTTTTAGCATTCATGAGCTAAGTCAGAGTCTGTGGTTGCAGACTTTGGTTGCTTGCTGCCATAAGCAATTATAAAAATGTACTTAGTTCCCCACACAAGGTTGAAAGCGTCATGTCATATAAGTACCAGTATCTTCTTTGTTATAAATGGCAAACGGAATAATCCCCAAAATAAAAATATATTTATTGTGATATATCAATGCCCAATCTACCAAACTTTTACTTCTTAGCACAATGCTTACCACGCTGTGCTTTGTGCAGAATCAAGCCCTAAGATATCCGAATGGGTACACTTTTGTCTTGAGATAAGTTCTTAGGACATTTGTAACCTAGAAAAATATGTGTCTTTATTTAAATTTCCAAACATTTAAATAAAATTGCTTGGAAGGACTTATACTTCAATACCACTAAAAAATAACAGGCTGGCCAACTGAAAAAATGTAGCCACAAGGACTGAATTAGATAGAGAAGCTAATTATTATTGGAGAAATTTGTAACCTGCTTTATACACATTTCCTCAGAAAACATTTAATAAAACTGCCATTTAAGCAAAATAACATGAAGTGTCTATACTATGAGAAAATCATGATATTTCAACATATAAAAGACACATGAGCAATGTGTAGCCAATGATGATCAAGATGTGTCAGCATTCTGTTATCTACAGCATTTCTAAGGATGAATTAAACACAAAATATGAAGGACATATTTAAGAAGCAAAGGGTCCAATCCTACCCACCAGTTTCATGGACTTTGGCGAAACTACTTTAGTGAGTAAGGGCTAAAAGATTTTATAAATTAAAAATTCCAAAGATTTCACTTAATACTAATTTTGTAAACACATCTCAAATTATAATATATAATAGTAAGAGACAGGAATATCAAATTTCCAAAACTATTACAAACTTTTCTCTATTGGGATCAAATTAGAAACCTTAAAACAACACTATAAGAGGGTGTTTTATGGCAGATAATATGTGCTTGGTAAATCGGAATACTGAAAATGGAACTGGAATCAAGAACTATGTTTGTAAACCTCCTCTTATTAATGTAGAGCAACTTCCCTAACAAAGTAGAGCAAAGTGTTTTTCCTATGACCACACAATATTCCTAAGCTGAATATGATGTTGTTTTTCTTTTAAACAATTCAGAACATGCACAACAGGATATGCACACTTATTTCAATGGGTTTACTTACATGAATAAAGTTAATAACAAACTATACATGTGCTTCAGGGCTTTTAGAATCTAGACCAGAGATGTCTATCTAACATAAGGCCCGCAGCTGGATCCGGCTTGCAAAGCCAGGTCATCTGGCCTGTGCATCTCCTGGAGGCCAGGTATTCAGAGACAGGGTGAGCAATGGATTAATTAACCCCTGCAGCTCCCTGGCATCACATGCCCCACCGCTGCTGCTGCTGTGTTAAGATCCAGCTGGCAAGGAACTCTCCAGTCCAGATCGAACCAGGGAGATCCAACCAGGGGAGCCAGATGAGTTTGAGAGCCCAGATCTAAGCCAATGGGATCTAGGCCAATTTTACTTACAAATGAGTAAAGTAAAATTGGGCCCTTAATTTTTAATGAAAGAATTTTTAAATTTGTGCAGGATTGGGTCCTTAATTTTAATGCAAGGGACAGAGGATAGATAAAATAAACTCTTATAGTTTCTATTTTTGCTGGTGGCATTTTGTTTAATCAGGAACTTGGTAGAGAAATAATTCTTCTCTGCACAAGAATGTTGTAAACAAGAAGTGAATGAAATGCCATCAGTCCATAAACAGGTTTATTTTGTGTTATAGAAGTAGGATGAATAGTTAACTGGCTACAAACAGGCTAGTTCAGTGTGCCAGTGGGTAGATTTTGCATACTATGATTTTCCATACATTGTCAGATTCTGAAGGATGTACGCTCAGGTAAATTTGGAGATATCTATATAATGTTCTCTCTTTTTTTTTTTTTTTTTTTTTTTAAATCAGTCCCGTCTAATGAACTGTTTAGCTATTGCATATATTTTCCCTTCAATGCCCTCACCTCTCACTCCCTGAAAGGAATTAGGTGCATGTGGATCACTATCATGGAAAGATGTTCCATTCCTGGGATGTTTTGGATTTTGAGTTACTGAATATAGTTTCTCAACTACCTTCCCATGCACACATATGCACACACACTGCTCCTGGTTTTCAGAGGTACTGAATCCTGGCAGTTCACACTACCTTCAGCAGGACTTGTGGCGCACTGCTTCTGAAAATCAGGACCAAAGTAAATACCCTTTAGTAGTTCAGTTCAGGGGTGTCAGACATAGGACCTAAGAATGCTCAATACCTCATGAACTGGATGCTGAAAACTGAGAGTCAGAATACCCTGCTGAAGCTAAAAAGATATTCCTGGTGTCATGGATGCGCTGAGTGAATTCTATACATGAATCAATACTATGGCAAAACACACTCTTAGCTATCCATTTAGTTCAGTAAAATGGATGCTGAGTTTTTAGTGCAATTTTGAACTGCTGCGGTTCTGCCTAAGTCCTTAAAAAGAACAAGATTTTTCTAGGCACAGCAATTTATTTACATTACAGCACCAACCCCTAAATGACATTGCCAAGAAAATGCCTAGGAAAAAATAGGGCACTTGCTCCAGCAAGTTAAATCAGGCAGTGTCTGGAGAAGACAGTTACTATCTCTACAATGGGATTGTTTTCCCCTTCTAAATTAAAAATAGAGGCACATTCATCACAGCAGAGTGGCAATTTTTGCAAATGCAGTCAGCTGAGAAATTACAATTAGGCAGAGATCCTGCAAGCCCTTGCTCATATGAGCAGCCCTGACTCATGCCAGTTGCCCCATTAATTTCAATGGGACAAACCACGTACCTCATAGGACCTGGTTGTTAATTTGGCAGTACAGCAGGGGTTGGCAATGTTTTTGGCCAGAGTGCCAACCCGCCACCCACAACCTCAATTTGTAAGACATTGGCACGCCAGGGGTGGATGGCAGGGGAGCCATGAGGGGCCTGATCCTTCTGGCAGTGCAACCCTGACTCCTTCCCTGCCATCCACCTTGAGGCACACATGCACCCATTGCCAGCAAGAAGCCAGGCCTGGACTCTGTGGACTCCAGTGCTGCTGCAAGCAGCCCAGGCTCGGTGGGCCCCAGGGGCCTGCCCAAAGCCCAGGCTGGCTGCAGTAGGCATCTGAGAGACTGAAAGCAGCTGCACCAGGGTCCACAGAGTCCCAGCCTGGCTCATTGCTGGAGGCAGTGCATCTGTGCCTCAGGGTGGATGGCAGAGAAGAGTCTGGGTTTATGCTGCCACAACAAGGATCAGGCCCCTCGTAGTTCCTCCGCCATCCACCCTGAGGGCTGGCACGTCAAGTAAAATATCTTCACATGCCGCACACTGGCATGCATGCTGGGGGTTGCTGACCCCTACAGTACAATATTATGAGCACACTGCTAGCATGCTGAAGAATAGCAAGCTCTAAGTTAACTATATAGGGATATGTTAAATGTACTGCTATCTTTATCCTGAAAGTCCTTACTCAGGAAAAGCCTAGGCTGATGCTTTTTTAAATTAGACGATATCAGACTGGTGTTTCCTAATTATCCCTCTATTCCTGCATTGCCCTGGAAACATGCCACATTTGCAACTTCTGGCAGTAAAAGTATGAAACAATATTGTTGATAACAAAAGACTATTTTGCTACTCAGTCTTAGCTTCACCTCTGCCTCTTATTTTAACTATCTGGTCAAAAGTCAGTATTTTACAGGTGAAAAAATAAGCCTTAAGTCACTCCTCTCAAAGTACTTTACTTTGGTCTATTATGCATTTTGAGCATGATCCAAATCCTATTGAATTCACTAAAAAACCTTGCATCTACTGCAAAGCGCTTTGGATCAGAACAGATCAAAGCCATGCAGATAAGCTCAGGTTTCTTTTTAACTGGAGCAAAGATGCTTATGTGCATTGAATCGTCATGCGTTAAACCCTGATCCCACTGAAGTTAAGATACCCACTGACTTCAGCAGGGCCAAGCTTTCACCCCCTTGTCTAGTAACATTTTCAAACCCTCTCTTCCGTTCCTTCCCCTACAGAAGATGGATTCAGTATTGTAGAAAAAACCCTAAACATGAGGACTCACCTGATTTGTCAGCAGAGTCATCGAACTCCACATTGAAAGAGTGACCATTGTTGACGATGCTTCTAGCTGTGGAGGGATCATAACTGATACTTAAGGGCTTCAGAGAAGGGTCGTACTTGGCAGACCTGGTGTTAATATCAATAGGAGACTGACGTTCTCCATTGGCAATAGGGAATTCCTTACACCAGTGAGCGGGTCCTACAAAAGGATGCACATAGAGACCCAACATGAAAAGATGCACACAAGACACAGAGGGTGGCCATAAGTCATACCCAAGTCAACTTGCAGTGCACGGCAGAGGCTCTCATGCATGAAGAGTGGAGGTCTTATCTCTGCCGGCTCCCACTGCTTGTTCCAGCAATGGGGGTGAGAAGCCACAGGCCTGGGGTTACCGCCAGATCCCGCTGGCGACCTGGGGGGGGGTCTCACGGGCCTGAGGACGTGGGAGCCCCGAGGCACAGGTAGGTCATCCGAAAGACCTGGTGTCCCGCCACTTCTAAAACCTGAGCCTGCCACCCCACCGAACCGGGGACGCGCAGGGGTACAGGCTGGCACGACCTCCTGCAGCATGGTGAGAAGCCTTGGGGAAGTGCTGGAGAAGCTGCCGGGGTCCCCTGCTAACCGACGTGCCACAGGCAAGTAGCTGCAGGTGGCAGGAGAGGGGCAGGCAGCTCTGCCAGGGAAGCAGCAGCAGCAGCAGCAGCAGCACATGGCCACGGGGAGGCTGCCCGGCCCCGCACCCGGGGACCCTGGGCATGGACAAGCGCCGGCCTCTCACCCCCGCGTCCTCCGGCCCGGGGGCTCCGCACAGGCAGGGCACAGGCGGCGGCGCGGGGCACTCACCGTTGTCACAGCCGTAGCCCCAGTGCTGGGACATGGTGCGGGCGGCTCGGGCTCGGGCAGGACGCTGGCCCCGGCTCGCCGTCAGGGGCTTTTATAGGCTCCCGCCAAGTGCATGGCCGGGCGGGGGGGGGGCGG